CTAACTTAGCCTAACCTATTTCCACTCCTAATCATGGTTGAATCAATAATTAAACAAGTTTTAAAAAAAATTTAAAAATAATTATGTGCATATGTAAATTATATATAATTATTCATGACTAATAAATAGTATTTTTTGTGCTAATGAATAATACAACTGTTTATTGGCTTTTTTTTTTCTTGATTCTATATATAATGTTATACAAAGTTAATTGCGGTAACAATACAAGCAACCGTTGCTTTGCCTGTACGAATATTTCTTTTTGTTAACCGAGCCTCGGTAGACAATTTAAACAAAAGTACTTGCTTCTTTCTTTAGTAACATTAAAAAAAAAAAACAGCAAAGTTAAAACAAAAAAGACACAAAACTGAAGGCGTGCAGGTTAAAAATAAAATGCTAGGATTCTAGTTCTATAACACACACACACCCCCCCCCCATATGCATATATTGGATGGAAAATTTTCCTGTGATTATATATTTTGGTTGTATCGGTTGGTTAACATCTGTGACGACATACTTCTGAGAATCCGACATATGATTTATAGTTAAGCAACCCGAGCAATTTAAAAATGTGGACCAGCAATATTGTTGCCCATCGTTGTCTCATGACGTACGCTCGACTGATAGATTGAAACACACAGAATTTCTTATCGTAAAACGTACAAAAATGCGTGGGCGTGTCCATGTCCAACGAATAGGAGCCACAAATTGAGAGAGAGTAAAAGGAGAAAGAACTCTAAGAACACTTGAAAGGGTAAGTTGGTATTCATATGATATTGTTTCTTTCACTGTCAACACATGCAATAAGTTTCAATCACAAACACAATTCGCTTTCATTTATGAACTGAAATATAAACAATCCAGTGACCTCATTTTCTTTGTTCCATTTCGCGGTAGTCTTCAACTAATTAGCAATTATATGGACGGATCCTTTCACCTTTTGATCTATCAACCGAGCGTCATGTGCGACATATATTTGATTCAATTGGCGTTGGTATAGTATGATAATATCTAAAAATATAGGCCATATGCAATATTTAAATGTCATTTTTTTCAATAAATTTTATAGTTTACATTCAAGTGTTGATTTTAATTTAATTGCAAATTACATTGCCAAGTGTAAGTTTGTGTGTGTCTGCTTGCATATTCACCGCGCCAACTTGCCACATATATGCTGATAGATAGAAAATAAATGAAATATATAATTTCAATTCAACTTTGGGTTTTCAATTAATGAATAAACTACGTTAGGATATGCTGAAATGTGATTAATTTTATGTTGATATAAATATATATAATGCTCTATATTGAATAAAACTGAGTTAATATATGCTTCTCAATTACTTGAGGGTGGGGTTGTGCCAAGGTTATTAGCTAAGCCCAAAATTGCAAATCCTCTTTCAATACGCATTCAGTGGAGCTGTTACTAAAATCCTAGCTTATGCTTCCCTGCAAAGCACTACAATAATCTTACCAGTAGTATAACCTAAGGATAGATGCTGAGCCATCGTGTTTTCATTACCCTAGAGGTTTTACAAAACTCTCATGAAAAACTGGAAAACAATAAAATATTCTACTATATACAGTACTGGATATAAGTATACAATTAATTAAGAAGATACTAGCTTCTAGATCAGCGATATTGCGAGATACCGCGACGAAATCCCTCCTCCCCCAAATATACCTGATCCAGGCTGCTGCACAGAAAGTCACGGCTAACTAATATATACGCACACATGCCGTAAATAAACTCTGAAACGGAAACATGCATGCATACGTGGGAGACAGACTAATTAATGATCAACACTTAATTAAAATGTATGTGATCCCTGGGATGTACAATGAGACTTCCTTTCGAAGATGCGGCGAGTTGGATGTTATTTATTTTATTGTTTGTTTAGAGTTTCTCGGCCATTGGGAATCCATCGGCTCTTACTAGGGCAGGCTTTTACAGTGTCCACGCCTTCCTTTTTGTCTCTATACCTTCGCAATTTCTTAAAATTAAGTTCTCTTAATTATTTTTATATTAATCTTCAAAGACTAAATCCTGCTTTATAAATGAAGCGACCAAATAGTAATAAAGCACGTATACTTGAATGGGGAAAAGAACCAAAACCTCCTTCTATAAATACCCCACTGCACATCCTTGTACATAACCCCAGCATCTTGAGCTATCTCAGTTCCTTATTTCTCTATTCTGAGTTTTAATTTCTTCCACAAACAATGGCAGGTATTGAGGGGTTCCCAGGAAGCTCCATGCATGGGGTAACAGGCAGAGAGCAAACCTTTGTATCCTCGGTAGCTTCCCCGATGGTCCCAACTGATACAACTGCCAACTTCGCTCTCCCTGTAGATTCAGAGCATAAATCCAAGGTGTTCAGACCCTTGTCCTTAGCCAAACCCCACATGAGAACCTTCCATTTGTCTTGGATCTCCTTCTTCACTTGCTTCGTTTCAACCTTCGCAGCTGCTCCCCTGGTTCCCATAATACGGGACAACCTCAACCTCACAACGTAAGACATCGGGAATGCCGGGGTTGCCTCTGTTTCAGGCAGCATCTTCTCAAGGCTGACGATGGGTGCAGTGTGTGACCTCATAGGCCCTCGCTATGGCTGCGCTTTTCTAATTATGATGTCAGCTCCTACTGTTTTCTGCATGTCGTTCGTGAAGGATGCTGCTGGGTACATAGCAGTGAGGTTTCTGATCGGCTTCTCCTTGGCGACATTTGTGTCGTGTCAGTACTGGATGAGTACGATGTTTAACAGTAAGATCGTGGGTTTGGCTAATGGGACGGCGGCTGGGTGGGGCAACATGGGAGGTGGGGCCACTCAGCTTATAATGCCGTTGGTGTACAAGGTGACCCGAAGAGCTGGGGCTACTCCTTTCACTGCCTGGAGAATTGCGTTCTTTGTTCCTGGTTGGTTGAATGTCATCATGGGACTCCTCGTCTTAACTCTTGGCCAGGACTTACCTGATGGAAACCTCTCTACCTTGCAGAAAAAGGGTGATGTTGCTAAGGACAAGTTCTCCAAGGTCAGTTATAATTTCTTTCTGATTGGTATATTACGACAAATTACAGGACATGCATGGATAAGGATGCTGATTAAACAGATTTGTTCAGGTGCTGTGGTATGCCATAACAAATTACAGAACATGGATTTTTGTTCTTCTCTATGGCTACTCTATGGGAGTTGAATTAACCACTGACAACGTCATTGCTGAGTATTTCTACGACAGGTGAGTTCAGCTCCACTCATTAAACATATATATCCTTCTGGCACTATCGTCACAACGATTTGATTAATTATTAGTTCATACAAAAACAGGTTCAATCTGAAGCTTCACACAGCTGGGGTCATCGCAGCAACATTTGGAATGGCCAACATCGTAGCTCGTCCCTTTGGTGGATATGCTTCAGACACAGCAGCTCGCATATTTGGCATGAGAGGGAGGCTTTGGGTCCTGTGGATTCTGCAGACCTTAGGAGGGGCCTTCTGTATATGGCTTGGCCGAGCTAATTCGCTACCCATTGCTGTGTTGGCTATGATTTTCTTCTCTATGGGAGCTCAAGCTGCCTGCGGTGCAACATTTGGTATAATCCCATTCATCTCAAGGAGGTCTCTGGGGATCATATCGGGTCTGACTGGGGCCGGGGGGAACTTCGGGTCGGGTTTGACCCAGTTGATTTTCTTTTCAACCTCCAACTTCTCTACTTCTACTGGTCTTTCCTTGATGGGTGTGATGATTGTGTGCTGTACACTTCCTGTGACTCTGGTTCACTTCCCACAATGGGGCAGCATGTTTCTTCCTCCTACCAAAGATGTTGATAAATCCATCGAAGAATATTATTATGCTTCTGAATGGAACGAGGAGGAGAAGCAGAAGGGATTGCATCAGCAGAGTCTCAAGTTCGCGGCCAACAGCCGATCTGAGAGAGGCAAGCGTGTGGCCTCTGCCCCAACACCACCGAATACAACTCCTTCCCTTGTCTGATCCTTATTTTATTTTTTTAACTTTTGGGTTTTAATAATATAGGGGAAATTGCAAAAAAAAGACTTTAGAATTGCAAAAACGCAGATAGGAACCCTTGACAACTTCATTTTAGGTTTTGACAATTTTATGACATATTATTGTCACAGGCTATAGTGAAGTTGTCAAGGGTCCCTCTCTGCGTTTTTGTAATTTCAAGGTCTTTTTTTTTTTGCAATTTTCCCTTTAATAATGCACATAGAAGAATGTACTTATAATGTTGGTAGGCATTCATGCTTATTAAGTGAAGATGAATGCCATGTAGTATGTACCATTAAGGAAACCTTAAAAAGAAAGTGGGAAAATCCTAATATACAGATATAGAATATTATAAGGGGAAGTTGTTTGCAGGTGGCATCAAATGCAAAATCATTGGTGAATATTAAGGCCTTTCAGCTGATGCCATTACTATGAATCTTAACATGTCAATATTATTGTTTAGTTGCCGGAGAGTTCGTCTCTGCTTGTGAAAACGTAGAATATATTGGTAAGTCAAAGCATATTCTGAATCATGATGGAGACACCAACGCTGATGCATGCAATTCAAATGATTTGAATTATGTGATTAAATTTGGGTTTCGCGTGGAACTGCGGCGTGGTGGGAACGAAGTTGCATCATCACGTCTGCTGAAGAATGGGATTCTTTACCACTATCTGTCTTTTCACTAAATTCTAAGTTTTATGGACTGGCAGGCAGTTTTAGGCATATGAATTCGTTTACGTACGATCAAAAAAGACGAGAAACAAGGTAGCAAGAAGGGAAATGAATTTATTTACTCTAAAATGCTCCATGCACATTCATCTCTTTTTCGCTGTGGAAATGCTATCCATAAAACAGAAAAACTAGAAACGTGAAAAAATAGTATTCTGACCGCAGCGTTGCATGTTAAACAAACGTCCGAGTTTAAATATATCAATGTATAACATAAAATTCATAGTAAACCAATTTATGATCAATGTCACCTTCATAGTACATGAAAAAGAGGTTTAATTTTCAGTATAATTTGCATTTATGTTTGAGATTGCAGCCTTATGTCAACTCTTTTAAAACAATAACTTCAACTGCGGGAACATGATTCCCTGGTTTTGGCTCAGCATGTCGGTTGCCAAGTATTAGAAGTTTTACATCTCAACATTAGAAAGCAAATATGATAAAGGACAATGGAAGAGAATAAAAATAAAAATATAAAACATAAAAGAAGCCAAAGCACATGTCTTCTGTTGAACTAGACTCTCCTCCTGCGAGGAAAAACTTGATTTACACTGCCGCTCCATTATGTACACAAGATTTTTGCTCCCTGATCAAGAGTTTTTTTTTTACCGGAGATCAACAGAGTTAGGAATTGTAGTTATAAACACACCAGCAGAGACGAGAACTCACATCAGTCACGAGCTTTCGCGTAAGAAATTATTATCGGACTCTAAATCCTGCCGTCAACAAGGTCACAAATAATGCAGAGGATCTGTGTCTTCTCAAACTGGGTGATAAAACCTAGATGCTTAATTTCCCACTGCCTCCACAGGTTGGGCATGATCGGCCAGAAGAACATTTTGTACAATAGCTCCATTTCTTTGGAAGGCTGTGAAATTCAGGTGAGTGAATGAATTCAAAAAACTTGCGATGAAAGGAATGGAGAGAAATAAAAATAGTACCCGGCTGTGAATCGAGTAGCCATATTCTTGGAAAGTTTTCTTGCCCTCTCGGCATTTTCCTCGGAGAGTTTCTTGAGCACAAATCCTTCACCTTTGCATTCTGAGCATAAACCAGAACCAGCACAATCTTCGCATACTCTGAATTGAATCTTTTTCACAAGAAGCTTTCTTTACACAAACAGTTGCCAATAAAGGGTGCAATTTATCACAGTTTGATCTATTTAATTAAAGATAAGTGCATGACCTTTTTTTGGTTTTTTTTGTGGGTTACACAGCCTATCTCTAGGCTAGCCAAATATTGGCATTAGTGAATTGTCAACACACAATCAAGTTCACAAATGCCATATTTCTGGAGGACAAAGAACAGCATCTGCAATTGTTCAGTCGTCATGTAATGCGGAAACAGGAACGCCTAATATAATTGAATCTTCGGTCTTTAAGAAGTTTCTATACTTTTTAGTGTTAATGGAACTTACCGCTACATTGTCATCTACAAGAATCATAAAATTGATGAAGAAGCAATTTTTACATCCTTGGTTGAATAAAAATGTATAATTTTTAACATTGGCATAAAGTAGACATCGTAGAACACAGATATTTCCAAAATACTTCTGAATGGAAAGATCAATCACTGACCTCTTTCGTTTCAGTAGGTTTTGTTCTCTTCACAAGAAGGGTAACTGCTGCACCGACAAGAGTTGCAGTGACAGCCACTGACGCCGCTGTTTCAGGTAGTGCAGAGGTAATAGTGGAACATTTCCTTCCTTGTAACTGTGACTTCACATCTATAAAAGATACAAAATGAGACTCGAAAATACGTTGGTAAGATATGTATGTCCTCAATTTTAACAACATTGATCGGTGGATTGCTGTCCTAGGAGTAGGAACACCATAAAACAACAAATGGAAAAGTTTAAACCAGAAGGTCTGAGGAATGGTTAACTATGCTAGTGAAATAAAAGACAAGAAGAGAATAGCATGTAATAAAACAAATTATTTTCAACTAACAATAACCCAAAGCAAGTGGTAATCTGTATATAATATAAAAACTCCAACAAATAATATTATGTATGAGAACAATAGCTAATTTCTGAGACCATGCAGTGTACAAAACCCACACTAATCTTGATTGAAAATGATAGAAAGATGACAATGAAACAGTAGGGGTGAAACTCTACAAGTGACAACCATCATAGGAAAAGAAAAACTTGGCGTACTATAATACTGAAAAGTTCGATATTGCTGTCATTTATGTGCTGAGATACAAGCAATTTTCACTTAACATTTAGGAAATTCAACATTAAATTTAGGGTATATCATTTTGACAAGAAAAGCAAAAGGTGACAATATATAAATGGCGAAACCAATAGTACATTACATCAGGAGTATTGAAGATGCATCGACAGGAAATGCACAAAGATTGGCAAGTTTCAACCTTTCTTCTGAAGGCAGTTGGTTTCTTTGTCATAATTCAGGTGAAATAGGTCTTATTAAAGAGTAAGATGAACCAAGCATCCAACTTTGAACACTTCTGCTAGATTGAAAAGTATAAATCTTGCAGGGGTGTCCTCAAAAACTTGTTTCAAGAGACAACTTTTGAGTGCTACAGAGTAGCAAAACGATTTTTCGTGAAACAGGTTTAAGTTGACACCGTTCATTCTGTTGTGAGAATAAACACTAACAGTTGAAACTGCAAGCACAAAAACTCTTGTACAGAAATGAGAACACAAATGAGTCCATTTCAGAACACTTGTAAGATTCCGGAAGCTCAATTTCTTGGGTTTTCCCACGGTTAACTCCACTACTCCAGTAAAATTGAAATCATACAAGACGCTGATCTTTACCAAAAGAGTTAAAGGGCCACTTACGATAGCAGTGGCATTCTCATCCAACTAGACAAAACAGATCAAGAGACAGGTTTCAAGGTTTCAACTGAGACTTTTGGGGACTTCTTTTCAATTTAACATTAAGGCTAATAAATGAGGCAAACGAACCATGTCTATCTGGATTATTACAGGTTTACAATCTAATAGAAACCTTCCACCGTAAAAGTAGGCAATCAATCAGCACGGTGGTTCCACCGAACCGAATTATTGAGATGAAAGCTATCCAGAAGCCGTGGGGATCATTAATGGTGCCTCCTTGAGGTCTCTCGGCAGATTGGTATGTTCAACCAGTAGATTGATGAAGTTTAAATGAGAATATGTAGCAGCAAGAGCTAGTAGTACGAAAATTAAAGGGGGAAATGAAGGAAAGATAATATCTTACTGTTGGAGAAGGAGGGAAGTGAAGTTGGGCGCACTAAGAGCTCCATTAAAGATTTTTCTTCATGAACGATCCTTCCCTGTCCCTCTAACTTAACTGGCCAACCTCCCTAACCACCGTATCTTATCCTCATCTTGTTGAGAGGATTTACCCTCTTAATTCAGGTAAGAATTAATTCTTGCTAAATCCATAACTACCTTTCCGTTGTAGATTTTGTTACATAAAATAAGCGAGTATTTAAGGAAAACACTTTAAAAATTATACTTGTAATTTTATATTATATATTAATATATTGCTCACTGTTGCTGGCAAAGGAAAAAAAAAAAACGAAAATATGTTGCTTATTGTTAAGAAGGGGGAAAAAAAAACAATGGTAACATGCCATTTGCAAGAAAGGCATTGCTTTTTTTCAAAATATTTATTTTCCAATCCTGTGCAATGAAACCAACATCTGTCCAATCAGCAAACACGATAAATCTAGGTAAGATTTTCTGGGCAGATCGCTGCTTCCTTCTGAGCTCTCAGGTTCAAGTGGTGAGGTTTCACGTGAAAAGAGTAAATTTTGTCTCTTCATATTTCTGGGACTTTGCAGATTTGAAGCAGACGCGGGTTTTCTCATGCATAGTTAATATCTATAACGAATTAGACAAACGGAATTCACTAAAGGCTATATGAATTTAATGAGGCTGCAATCCATAGGTTATGAAGTTGGTTCCTTTTATAAACTCTCGCACTGAGTCGTTCTGGACAAAGTTCTGGTGCAAACTCAATTCTATTCCGTTCCCTTTTTAATTTCTGGAGTTTTGGGTAGTAATTACTGTCAGGGACAGTGGTTGCAACGCAGGGTGCAGCGTGCGTATTAATTTCAGACCAAACTCTCCCGTTTGCTCAACTTTAAAATGGCAAGCGAGGGAAAAGTTCGGCGAAATTAAAGAGAATCATCATGTTTGTGGATAGGAGGCAGTATAAAAGAGAATATTACATTGTGAGGCTTATTTTCTCATTGTAACAACTGAATTTAAAAGCATTCAATTCTGATAACAGTTTATCAACAGCCGTGAAGAGGACACATGAAATGAAACTCTTAATCGCACCTGATGTGGTTTTTCAATTTTCAATTTTGAAAAGAGACTTCTCACCGTATCTCTAATCTAGCTAAAGGTAGGTCATTTACACTAATTAAATTCATAAGAAGACTTTTGCGGCTTAACTCAGCAAGTGGCTAAGATTTGGAACTGTAATGAGCTGCTAAACCACACGTGGTAGTTGATTAATCACATGGGTACTAAGAAAACAAGTGAATAAATTTGATAGTGTGCAATAACATAAATTACTCACGGATATCTTGACTTGCGGCACAGACAAAAAAGCTGTGCATGGATATCTGCCTTTATCAGCTGCTCACGAGCTTATTTAAGGCACATTGTTTCCCAAAAGCCCTCACAGCAATCAACCATAAAACCTGTCTTTCTCCACAGGCTGATCAAACCAGAAGCCTCATGTCTACTACAAAGTTCTTTTTCTCTGTTCTTTACCTCCTTATTTCTCTCATCTCTCTAGACGTAGCCATGGCTGGAAGGATCATTCCACCTAGTGCTCCAAGTACAGTCACAAGACCATTAGTTTTTTCAGAAGCAGAAACTTATATGAAGCCAGAGTCGGATCACAAACAGAAAGTTTTCCGTGGGAAGCAAGTGAAGAGTTGTCTGCCTAAAGGGTCTAAGCGTAACTCAGCTCCAAGCAGATTTGTGAACTACAAGGCACTAAATTCCGGAGACTGCTCAGGAATGCATTCAAAAACACCCTGACTTCTAAGGGGGCTGTGTTGTTTAAAGGCGGAGGATTGGCGTGTGTTTGTACATGGTTTTTCACGATCATGAATACCAGTTATGTTTCTTTTTTGATTTGCCTATGATTTGTGATATATATATATATATATATGTTACCTATCACAGTTTTGAACGTTATGATTGATCATTGCGAAGGTGTGAGTTATTTTCATCATGTGTATGTACATTTGTTGTTTGACACCTTGGCCACACGTTAGAAGTGGTGTTGGCTATTTCCCCCCTTTTGCCATCAGTGTGGACAAAATTGTGGCAATCATGGTACATTAATTTACTGAATTGATTTCCTTGACAAAAACACGACTTTTTTTGGTGTTTATCAAAACTTCGTTTAATATTATGCCCTTTACAATGCTTTTTTAAGAGACAATAAGGCGTGTCAGGGCAAAACATAATCATATATTTTGATAATATTTAGAGGAGAAAAAAAAAAACCTTGAGAAATCGCAAGTATATGCCCATAGAAATGCTGAAAATATACTAAAGTATATACGGCCTCTGCGAAGATTCATGTTCAGGTATTTTCCGTAACAGCGGGCTCTATTTGGTTTCTTTATTCACATTGTGCTCCAGCTGTTTCACAGCCAAGCATAGAAATGAGCATTCGGTTATTTGGTTTAGTTATCAGTGATAATCGAATTAATTGAATAACCGAAATATACATATTTACGAAACCGAACCGAAACCAAAGTGTAATAACTAATCAAACCGAATTAACCAAAATAAATTCGGTTTGGTTATCAATTTATTCTGTTAAGGGTTTTTTTTTTGGGGCCTTTTCTGTTCCAAATAGTATGATAGTAGCCTGTACAACATAATAAAAATCCAAACACTAATAATCTATTTGAAAGCCCACACAAGATCCAAAAGAGCATGCAAATTGATAACAAATTTAAATTCAAACATAACAAAAGTCTAAACAAACAAACTATTGGTGCAACAACATTAACATTCAAAATTTAAAGTACAGCGTAACAAAAGTCCAAATAAATCCAACTAACCCCCAGCTCTCCTTATAGGCAACATAACACGGTTATTCGGTTTTTTAACAAGGGAGACTGGTCAAAAAAAAAGAAAAGAAAAATAGGGAGGCCGGTCAAAAAGAAAGAAAATAGAAAAAGATTAAAAAAAAAAAAATAGTTTTTTTAATAAATTTTGATTATACGGTTATAATCAAAATATTTTAAGAGACACTGAACCAAATTGATAACCAAAATAATTAACTGAAAAAAAACCAAATGAACCAAATTAAAAAAACCAGATTAATTAGGCCCTGTTTGGATGACATTGCAAACCATGGTTTGGAAGGCCAAACCATGGTTTGCACATAAAATCATCCAAACAGACAGGTATTTTGGTGAAACCGTGGTCCAGGTTGAAACCATGGTTTTCACTGGTGAAACCATGGTTTCATCAGAAGCAAGAATTTGTGCTTCTGGCTGAAATAATTGAAGGCAACGGCATTGACCCAAAAATACCCTTCATCTGCAGTGCTGGCTGACACGTTCGCTTTGCTCTGCTCGCACATTCACTCTTCGCTCTTCACTCTGCTCGCGGATTCACTCACTCAGGAACCTCGCCTTTCTCTGCTCGCCGCTTCGCTCTTCTGGAGTGGTTCTCTCTGAATTTCGATCGCTGAAAAAAAAACCTCTCGCTCTTGAACATAGCAAGTTTCCCT